TCAAAAGCATCAATTCTTCTACGGTCTTCCTTATTCACTGTCCAGTTTTCGCACGCATATGAGGTTACTGAAAATGCCATGGCTTGGGTCAGGTTCACCTTCATCCTCAAGCTGGTAACTTTGTTCTTCAACACTTTAAAAAAAGTCTTGGGCAGCAGATCTGCCTAATGCAATACGTTGTTTGATCTCTTGACTGCTGCTTCCATGAGTGATGATAGTTGATCCAGGAAGAACGAAGTCCTTGAAAACGTCAATCTTTTCTCCATTGATAAGAATGATGTTTATTGGTCCAGTGGTGAGGATTTTTGTTTTTTTTTTTACATTGAGATGTAATCCATAACGAAGGCTGTGCTCTTTGATCTTCATCAGTAAATGCTTATAAAGTCCTCTTCACTTTCAGCCATCAAGGGTGTATCAGCTGCATATCACAGGTTGTTAATGAGTCTTCCTCCAATCCTGATGCCACATTCTTCTTCATATAACCCAGCTTCTCGTATTATTTGCTCAGCACAAAATATATAGTCCTTTAAAAATTAAATAACTTTTTCTTTTTATTATTCTAATCAAGTTGGTATTGTTTGCATACTTTAGATGAAACCTCATGTGGCCAGCTATTGTCACTGTTTATGCAATGTTCTTCCTCCTCTTCCTACAATATGTATGTTTTAAGTAAGCACATGATTGCCCAAAATATGTACCTTTCCCAGCTTCTTTGCACCAAGTTGTGGTAAACCATGTTCTGCCCAATTGAATGTAAGCAGAATTACAATTGCTTACAGTACAACTACAGGAAAACTCCCTAAAGGACAAGGACATAAAACAAAGATACAAGTACAGCAAGTGTTTAAGAGCAGATTCCAGAGTCACGCTCTCTGAACTTGAATTCTGATTTTTATTAGTTGATTTTTATTCCAACACTTCTTTTAATTGTTTTCCATGCTCTTATGTTCCTCATACATTATTCACTCAAACACGTAGAAACATTAATTTGACCATTAAAAGCATTTCAACTACCACTCATTAGTTCACCATAAGAATTATGTCTCCTTCCCTGAGACAACAAAGTACAAAGTCTTCCAAAAATTGAATAAACAATAGTCAGTTTCATTTTTTAACAAATGTTTTAAGATCACATGTATCACACTTACCTATCTTGTGTAGACTGCACAGCCCATAAATAACAGCAATTACGAGGGTCATTCTCAGGTTCTTGAAAAGTAACAGCATATACAGGAACTCTTCCACCTTCCAGTTGTGTATAATATCTACAACAGGTATAAAATAGCAGTACATTGCCTATTTTTATTTTAATGTTACTTAAAAGAAAAGAACAAGAAGAGCTTTACGTAAAGAGGTTCAGTTGGAGTTACCATTGTTCATCTTTAAACAAGCCGAGAAGAATATGGTATATATAAGAGGGCTTCAGAAAGTTTATGGAAAATGGAATTAAAAGATAACAGTTTCTCCACAAACTTTAGAAATCCCCACTTTTGTATGTGTAAACTAGTTGTTCCATTCACATAAACACAGGTCACAAAGCACTTTTCTCAGTAAGAGGTGCCCAAGAAAGATAAGAAATTTTACAATGTAACACTCCAATTTACCCACTTAGACATTATAAGAAAGTGTTGTCATAGTTTGGCGCTGTGGTATAAAGCACTGGACTTAAAGGTTGGTTTGAACCACAATGTCAGCGCTTCAAACTCACCAGCTACTCCTTTGAAACCCTATACTGGGTAGCTATGAGTGGGAAGTGACTCAATTACACTTAACAAGACAGAAATGTTAGGCTGCTAACACTGCCAACTGAAAGGTTGGCAAGTAGAATCCAGCAGCTGTTCTGCAAGAGAAAGTTGAGGCAGTCTGCTCCTGTAAAGATTTATAGCCTCAGAAATCCTGAGGAGTAGTTCTATTCTGTTATACAGTCACTATCCACCATTAATCTGTCAGTTTGTTGTAATGTGGTGACTTACATGTTGCTGTGATTCTGGAAACTATGCTGAGCTTCCAGATGAAAACAGACTAGGAAAGGGGAGACAGAATACTCCTGAATATTTAGTCACTGAAAAACTTATAAATAACAGTAGAGACCTGGAATTAGAAAACTTAAAAGGGAAGAACACACTTAGCAATTGTCAAGTTGAGGAAATTGAAGAAAAAATTCAAGCCTCAACTTGAAATATTGAAGTATTCTACGGGAAAAATATTGAATGATGCAGAAAGCATCAGAAAACGATGCAAGGAGTGCAGAGTCACAGTACCAAAAAGAAATGGTCAACGTTCAACCATTTCAACAAGGAGCACATGATTAAGAGTCAATGATACTGACGGAAGAAGTCCAAGGTTCATTGAAGGCACTGGCAAAGAACCAGGAGCTGGGAACTGATGGAATACAAATTGAAATCTTTCATTAAAATGATGCAACACTATTGGCAATCATTCATCTATGCCAAGAAATTTGGAAGACAACTACCTGACCAACTGACTGGAAAGAGATCCATAATTGTGTCCATTCCAAAGAGAGATGACACAGTGCAATGCAGAAATCACTGGACAATATCATTAATATTGCTTGCACAGAAAATTTTGCTAAAGATCATTAAAAAATGGCTGCAACCATACATTTACAGAAAACTTATTTCAAGTCAGATTTAGAAGAGGACGTGGAACGACAAGTAACACTGCTGACATCAGATGGATATTGGCAGAAAGCAGAGGCTATAAGAAAGATGTTTGTTGTTGTTATAAAGTGCCATTGAGTTGGTTCCGACCCATAGCTACCCTGTATAGGGTTTCCGAGGAGTAGCTGGTGAGCTCGAACCCTCAATCTTACAGTTCAAATGGCTTTGCAGTCTGATGCATTAACCCACAGTGCCACACCAGGACTCCCAAAAAAGATGTTTACCTGTACTTTATTTACTACTCAAAGGCTTTCAATAGTGTGGATCATGACAAGCTACGGACAACACTGATGAGAATGAGTATTCTGGAACACTTATTGTGCTCATGAGGAACCCATACATAGACCAAGAGGCAGTTGTTCAAACAGAACAAGGGAACACAAAATGTTTTAAAATTAGGAAAGTGTGCACCAGAGTTGTATTCTTTCACCACAATTATTCAACCTGTATGCTGAGCAAATAATTCAAGAAACTGGATTATATGAAGAAAAGCATACCATCAAGACTGGAGAAAGACTCATTAACAACCTGCTATATTCAGATGATATAACCTTGCTTGCTAAAAGTGAAGAGGACTTAAAATATTTACTGATGAAGATCAAAGACCACAGCCTTCAGTATGGGTTGCATCTCAGTGTAAAGAAAACAAAAGTCCTCACCACTGGACCAAAAATAATATCCATATAAATGGAGAAAAGACTGAAGTTGTCAAAGACTTCATTTTGCTTGGATCAACTATTAACACTCATGGAAGGCGCAATCAAGAAATAAAACAACATACTTCAGTCTTCCATATTCACTGTCAAATGCACCTGCATATGAGGTTATTCAAAATATCATGGCTTGGATCAGGTGCACCTTATCCTTAAATTGATATCTTTGCTTTTAGCAGAAGAAGTGATACATTTGAGTTATGGTGTTGGAGGAGAATATTAAAGTACCACGGACTGCCAAAAAAAAACAAACAGATCTGTGTCAGAAGAAGTACAGCCAGAATGCTTCTTGGAAGCCAGAATGGCCAGACTTCATCTCTCATGCTTCACATATTATTAGGAGGGACCAGTCCCCTGAAAAAGGATATCATGTTTGGTAAAGTGGTGGGTTGGAGTAAAGATGAAGACCCACAACGAGATGGCACAGTAGATACATCAATGGGCTCAAATATAGCAAAGATTATGAGGTTAGTACAGACCAGGCAGTGTTTCATTATGTTTTGAAAAAGGTTGGTATGAGTCAGTACTGACTTCATGGCAGCTAACAACAATAACAACAGAGTCCCTATGAGTCAGAATCGACTTGATGGTCATGTATTAAGACAGAAGAATTAGAAACCCTGAAAAATTCTCACAGACCTCTTAAAAAGATGCCAAGAGATGACAGTAGCTATAACAAAGAAAACTTTATTGTATAAGTCAGAATCATACGACATACCTTACGACCAATGTAAACAGAAGAACTGATAAAGTCACAAGGATTATCAGCTAAAAAGTTCACATGACCTTCACATAAGAAGTTGCTACACAATAGCCTATCTACTTCATCATTGGTATTTTACTGTAATATGTAATTCTGAGCAAGTCCAGTGTATACTACAGTATACTTTAATATGATCAAAGAACTCAAAGTAAAAAAAAAAAGGTCCTGGTTTGAGAAAAAGGAATCTACTTGCTAATCTTTCTTGTCTTCATTGCAACCTTGGCAAACATTTTTTATCAGTTCCAGGCAAGTAGGCACTGATTTGCTGGCTTGACTAATTGAGCAGAAAGTTGGGAGAGTGGTTATTTTATTTCATTCACGCTTATTTGTTCTATTACTTAAGGAAAACTACCAATATGACTAGGAAAATGAAACATTAAATAAATAAGCATGTACTTTAAATGATTAAAATTTTCATAATGCTCATTTTACTACCTCTTCCAATAAAGAGATGTCTTCAATAATTTTATTCTAAAGATATTAATAAAAAGTATGAATATAATTATATTTTGGGGAGATAATGACAGCATAAAAATTTTAAAAAACACAAATACTCCACAACTTTCTTTTTTTCCTGTCAATCGAGAACTTTATTACTTTTACACAGACGTCTATATAAGAGAAAAAAGAACTTGTATTACAAACATGCAGTTTTGTCAAATGTAAAACTGATAATCTGCTCAGCAAACCTCCACTTAACTTACAATAAAGTAAAAACACAAAGCAAAAATGTCTTTTAAATACTGAAAGAATCAACCTCAATCCATGTATTAAATCATTCCTTTATCAAATCAAATTATGATTTACTACAATTAGAAATTATTCACACTTGTCCCTACTCTTTTTAATGCCAATTTTCAATTACTAAGTTATATCTAAAAAGAAAATGCCAACAAATAAAAGTTATTATACTCACTCTCTTTTCATGCTTTTCATGTTCCAAAGTGCTAGACAGCCATCAGAAAAACCTACAGCAAGCTGATTTGTTTTACTTATGTAACTAAGAGTTGAAATGGTTGTTCCTGATGGGCTTAGTAACTGGAAACACAGATGACGTCCTTCTTGCATCACATTTTCTCTGATGTGTGGTACTTCAGCTGGGATACCAGTTATAACTTCAAGGTCTAAAAACAGCCAAGTAAATCAAATAAGATTAACAAACTATGAACAGCAAAAAGAAAAACAAGACACCTATTATTCAAGCTACAAATGATCAATCTTAAAATCAATTAAAATAAAGATAAGTGATAGTAAAGCAACTATACAACAGCCATCCTTATGTATCTTTATCTAAATGATCTGTCAAATATATATACTGGACTGCTAACTGCAAGGTTGGAGGTTCAAAACTACCTGCTCAGAAACCCTATACAGGGTAGCAATGAGTTAGAATGGACTCCACAGAACTTAGCAACAAAGAAGGTTGGATTTTTGGAGGTTAAACAATTTCCTTAATCATAATAAAGCTGGCAAAGAAGTACAACCTAAAAATTCTCTGTGGATAAGTATCTGATTCTAGGTCTGGGGTAAGGAACAAACAAAATAGCCTAACACATCTTATGCCAGAAATCTAGGAAGTTATCAAGTAATAGGGATGCCAACATCAACCAAAAATTACATGTGTGGCTACGCATGCGTGTACATATATTGGTATTATCTACTGTTGTTAAGTGCTGTCGAATCCGACCCGGTACAGGGTTTCTGAGGAGTGGCTGGTGAGCTTGAACTGCTGACCTTGCTACTCAAACTGGATTTGCTGTCCAGTGCATTAACCACAGCAGCACACCAGAACTCTGATACATTTATATCATGTGTATATACCTGCATGTGTATACATGCATGTGTTAAGAGCCCATGAGTTGGCTCCGAGTCTTAGCAATCCTGTACAAGGTTCTGAAGGAGCTCTGGTACCGTAGTGGTTACGAATCAGGCTGCGAATTGCAGGGTCAGCAGTTCGAAGCTACCAGCTGTTCCGCAGGAGAAAGAGGAGGCTTTCTGCTCCCGTAAAGATTTACAGCCTTGGAAACCCTGTACAGGGTTGCTATGAGTCGGAACCGACTCCACAGCACATAACTACCATCACCACAGTGTTTCTGAGGAGTGGCTGGTGAGTTTCACTTGCCGATCTTGTGGTCATCAGTCCAGTACTTATCCTACAACTTCATACCAGAACTCCATGTATGTAATAATCACATGTTGTTGTTAAGTGCCATCGAGTTGGTTCTGACCCATAGTGACCCTGAATAGGGTTTCAAGGAGCAGCTGGTGAGCTTGAACCACCAACCTTGCAGTTCAAATGGAGCTGCAGTCTGGCGCATTAACTCACAGTGCCATACCAACACTCTAATAATTACATAGGGGCATATTAAGATACTTCTTAAACATAATCCAACATTTGGTGAGACTGGTCTCATGCGACAACTATATAATTGGTGTAATATACTTCACAAAGTTTGTTTTACATCCTAGTTTGGTGAATAGTGTCTGGGGTCATAAAAGCTTATAAGCAGCCATCTAAGATACAACTATGTGTTTCTACTTGTCTGCAGCACACAAAAAAGAAGAAAACCAAAGACAAAGAGAACATCTAGTCTACAGGACTAATAATCTACATAAAACATCATCTCATGTACCCTGAGACCAGAAGAACTATGTGATGTCCAGCTACCACTAAGGACCCTTTTGATCAGGACCACAATAGATAGAACCTGACAGAATTGGAGAAAAACATGGAATAGGATTCCAACTCTTAAAAAAAAGTGCAGACTTACCTACAGGATCAGTGAGCCTGGAGTATGCTCCAAAGCTATCATCTTTAGACACAAATACCCTTTGTACTTTGAAGCAAAACCATCATGAGCTCATCTTTTAGTCAAATAAGAGACTCGCTAATAAAAGAGAATGTGTGAATGTCCCATCTTTAAAAAATCATCTATTTGAGATCAAAGCATCAACAGTTACTCTAAAGATGGAAGGGCAAGAAGACAAGGAATCGAGATTACTGGAACATCCAGAAAGGAATAAATGAGAATACTGATACACTGTGGAAAATGCAACTACTGTCACTGAACAATTTGTTTAATCTAATGGGAACCTCATTATGTAAACATTCATAGAAAACACACAAAAAAATTTATTGTAAAGGAGACTTCCAGCAGATGGCGGACTAGGCAGACATACTACATGGATCTTCTACAACAAAGACATGAGACAAACTGAAACAGGCACACATAAAAGTCCTGCAAACCTGAACCTCAGAAGAAAGATGAGAAAAACGGACTAAGTGCTTACTGGAAGAAGAAGCTGAGCAGGGACAGTGTGAGAAGGTGACTGACTGATAGAAAGTCGGCCAGCCATGGCACAGCCAGCTTGAACAGTTGTGAGCAGCTTTGATGACAGAAGGAGGCCTGTCAGAGTAGATTCTCACAGGCGATGTGAGAGGTGCAATTTCTTCTTTCTCCTCATGCTCCCCCTGTACCAGAGGTGTTAACAGCTCCCACCCTCATCCACTCTCAGCACAGATTCTACTCTCTAAGAATTCAGAACCATGTGGTTGGGAGCCTTGCCAGTGATAACGCAGGGAGCGGGCTGCATCACTTTGGTGCCTTGATTCAAGCAGCTTAGCTCCAGATCTAGAGAACCAGACTAACACTGTTGTTGTTAAAGTGCCATCAAGTTGATTCAGATTCATGTTGTGGTTGTTAGGTACCATCTAGTTGGTACTGACTCATAGCGATCCTATGCACAACAGAACAAAACACAGCCCAGTCCTGGGTCACCCTCACAATTGTTACCACTTTGCCAATCCATCTTGCTGGAGGTCTTCCTCTTTTTCACTGACATATCCTTCTCCAGTGACTGGTCCCTCCTGACAGTATGTCTGAAGCATGAGAGATGAAGTTTGGCCATCCTGGCCTCCAAGGAGCACTCTGGCTGCACCTCTTCCAACACAGATCTGTTAGATCTGTTGGCAGCCCATGGTACTTTCAATATTCTCCTCCAACACCATAACTCAAATGCACAGGGTAGGTAATAGGCACAGGATAGTGGAACACGGGGTATGGAATAGGCACAGGATAGTTTCGTGCTGGGGTAGGGAGCAATACACTAGAAGAGGAAGGGGAAAGGAAAAATAAGCTGGATGCGAGACTGGCTAGGCAGATTTACATGGGCTAAATGGGACAGATGTAAATAATGATCTAAGCACAAACGTGGAACAACAGGGCTCATGGATACAAAGATTGAGGCATGGTTTGAATGGGTAAAAGTGGGGAAATATGTTAAGATGCTTGACTGTCTGTTGAATTTTGGTTTCCCTTGACTACTATTATAAAATAGACACTTGAAGGGGGAGAGAGGAATACCCAGAAACATCACCAGAGAAAGCTTGTAAATCCGTCTTCAGCCTACAATTATTTGAAATAACTAAAATGGGGCTAGAATTTGCCCTGTGAAGGAGGCTCCCTGCAGAGCCTTTGCATTGCACAAGACCATATAGATGGAATCCTAATCCTCATTCAGAATTTTCTGAGGTGGGACATTCCCACATGAAAGGACAAGTAGAGCAGTCTGGAACAGCCAGAAGAACAGAAGATACTTCTTGAAAGAAAGACCAGCAGAAAAAAACAAAACAATAACAGCAGTCCAATTGACTACTACAAGAACAAGCAAGTTGTTCCCCAGGGAGCCATCAAGGCAACTGGTCAGGTTCCCTTCAAGGCAAACCCTCTTCCAAGACTGAAACTGGAATGGAATACACTAGCAGGCATATGATATGGTCCTGATGCTGACCACGTTGGTCACCGATAAGGGGAAGAGGGGGAAAAAACAGCAATAAAGTTGTGAACTAAGTCCGACCACATTCTTTTTTTTTTTTTTTTATTAAATGTTTTTATTTTGGATTGAGTGAAAGTTTACAGGGCACATCATCAGCTTCACATTCAACCATTCATATAGCTTGTTTCATTACAT